AAAAAGCACCACTTTTAGAATAATTGAGGGGACTAATGTGCTTACCTAAATAATTGAGGGGGGAAAAGTGCTATAAGTATATAACTCAGGGGTAAAAAGTGTCATTTTCCCTAAAGCTAAATTATTAATAACCGATTCTATTACATTTTTTACACAGAATTTTTCTTAAAGATTAATGTAGTAAAATTAAGCTAAATTATTAATAACCGATTTTATTACATTTTTTTACGCAGAATTTTTCATAAAGATTAATAGTAAAATAAGACTAAATTAGTAATAACCAATTCGTTTTCTATTTTTTACGCAAAATCTTCCGTAAAAGATTAATAGTAAAATATCTTAATGAATATTTTCCTTATACTGCTTATTGATTCTTTTTCATTTTTCAGAGTGTAGAAAACATTCACATGAATAATATTTCATTCCATTATTTTTCATAATTACATATTATTATTAATTTTCTTTCCAATATTATTATTAATTGTTTGGGGGTACGACTTCCTTCCATTCTTTTTCATTTTTTTCATATTATTATTAATTGTTTAGGCGGGAGCTTGTAAAGGATGATTTTTTTTATTAATTAATATAGAATATTAATATAGATTAATATAGAATATACATTACTAATTAAAATAAGTTTTTTTTTAAAATATTATATTGAACAATAATATTACCAATTATTATTATTATTATTATTATTATTATTATTATTATTATTATTATTATTATTATTATTGGTTCACATAGTTGAATTATTTATTTTTTATTTAATTATTATAAACATAAATGATATTTTACTAATTAATTTATGATATTTATCAAATTGTATTTTTTAAATATAGTGTTTTATCCATGCATTGCACGGAATTTTATTTTTGTTATTATGAATTTAAAATAAAAATAGAAAAAATAAAAAGATGTTAAAATGTACAATATAATAATATAGTTGGACTTTTATATATTTAGTCAAGTATTTATTTCATAACATACAAAATTAAAATTTAAATTTTGTATGGTTAATATATTCTCTAATCATGTACATATTTAGATAAATTTATAGAAAAAATTCATATAATTAAGTTGATTTATTCCAAATTGTATTTCATATGTATATATGAAATTTTAAAATATGAATAATAAAAACTAAGAGAATTGTACTTAGAAATCAATAAAAAAAATGTAAATTTTAAATTTTGTATGAATAAATAAATATTCTAATCGGACGCATATCCTTATATGATTGTATAATACTTTGTATATACACATAATATTTATTAATATGTATATAGGAAATTCCTATAATATAATTTCATTAATTATAATTTATATTGATAGATTTATACTTAAAAAATTATATTTAGAAATTTAAAAAGTATATGTATGTATATTTTAAAAAAAATTATAAATATTCATGTTTTGTTAATTTTATAATTTTATTTCTTTAATTATATTTCATATTTTATTAATTATAATTTAATGAAAGTGTCACAAATATGTCTACGAAAGAAATCATATATTTCTCAATTTCATTAATTATATTAATTATTATTACCAAATATTGTGGCAATTACCACAATAATTTCATTAATTATAACATTTGTTTTCTTCCAATATTTAAATACATTATCATAAAATTACCATAATAATAACACAAAAGAAGGAAAGAAAAATTATGAGAATAATCTATATCTATATATATTTAAAAGTAAAATCCTCCTAACCAAGTTTATCCCCAAAACTTAGGGGCATATATATATAAATTACATATTTACCATATATGCATATTTTGTGTCTATATAGTATAATTTTTGGTATCAAACATTTGAATGGTAATAAACGGGGGGAAATGTCAACATACAAATGATAATTCTTTCATTTCTATACTAATTTTAATGGTAATTCATTAATTACTACATTTCACGATGAGTCAGCCTGTTCATGCCCATCATTTTTCAAGAAACATAGAAATGAAATAGTCAATTATTAAAATTGTTTATGATTTCATTTTTAATTTTTGTCTAAAGTTAAAGATATATATTATCGGTGATTATAACATTTTTTGTATTAACTGAAAATTTGAAAGTTTTACCTTTTTTGAGATCTCTTACCATTTTATAATTTCAATATTATGCGATTTTGAACTCATCCATGGTGTACAAATACACTCTTTATGACCATACAAAATCCATTGAGGAGACATTTGTACTGAAGAGTAAACTTCTCCTTAAACTAAATTCGGGTGTCAAGAAAATCTCCGTTTTCATTCATAATGATATTCCTATTTCTGAGTCTCTCATCACTGTTCGGTACATCAATGATGTCTAGATTTCTGGGTCTTCCATTGTTCCCTTTGATCCTTATGATTGTGCCATTGCCAGTATTTTTTTATTTGGGTTCAGTACAACGTGGATTTTTTTGGGAGGTTTCTCTAATTAAATTTTTGGTTAAAAATTTATATTTCCTTTGTATTTTATTTTATTACTTATTTATTTATTTATACTAATATGTGAATGGAGTAACACAAAATCTGAAATTGTATTTGTTATTTATTTCTTCTTTTTAAATAATCATTATTTTTGTGTTTTACAAAAATTTAGAAAAAATCAAATATAGCGAGATTTTTAATAGGTTAAACAAACACTCTATTCAAATGATATATATAAAAATACTGTGAAATGCTGTAAAATGAACTCTGTTTGGTAAAAAAAAAAAAAACATAGAAACTTGAATGACATGTACAAACCTCGAAGTCAACATACTAACTCTAAGTTTCAGAAAAGCTTACAAAATTATCAAAATTACCGTCTTTATCATCCTCGATCGATCGCATCTCTACAATCTTCCATAAAAACTAAACCAATAGGGTTCTGTTACAAATGCTCTTCCTCCTCAATTTCCTTTTGTTGAAGCAGATCCTCCTTAAGTATCTTCAAACTCATACCAGATGATATAAACTGCAAAACATATTGAAATATGTGAGAATATAGTTAGAAAAATGTAGAAAATTCATACAAAAAGAAAGCAGAGAGATGAGTCTGAGATTCTTTGATTGAAGAAGCCATTGTATTTATAGGTAGAAAATACTAATTCAAAAGGAAAGTATAATAATTTATTTATTTAAGGGAAAGTATAATAATTTATTTATTTAAGGTAATAACATTATTATTATTTATTTATTTATTTATTTTCCATTTGACATTTACTTATCAAATAAGTTTTACTACAAAAGTTTTGGGGGAAAAATTTGTTAGGAGAATTTTACTTTTATATATATATAGATATAGATATAGATATAGATATAGATATAGATATAGATATAGATTTTATATAAACCTCAAGTAAATGCACCTATCTTTACTAGATTTGGAGTGAGTGGTTTAGGCGGGTGCATCAAAGTATTGGTATATAATTTTAAAAATATAGTTAATTTCATTTTTGGTCCTAGGTGGCAATCCATTGAGTCATTTTTTATTTTTATTTTTTGAAATGTTAAGTTATTTTTTATTAAAACATTCACTTTTGGTCCTAGTATTATTGTGGCATGACCGTCCTTTTATCAACAAAATAGTTTAAATATCGTTAAATACAATGACAGTTCGGTCTTCAATTATGGATATTTTCAAAAAACCAAACATAAAAAATATAGCGGCTCAATCTACTTTGTATAAAAAAGACTTAGGGTGTGTTTGGTTCGCACATAGGAATCGGAATCGAAATGGGTATCAAATACTTGGTAATGGTAATGTGTTTTGGTGAAAGTATTTAACATGTTTGGTAGTAGGGTGGAATGGGAATGGTTACTAATAGTAGTGCTTGAGAATGAATAAGGGAATGAAACCCTTATTGTATTTGGGTATGGGTTTTTCAATTGATGGGGTATTCGAAACCCATAGTAATGTTCTAAAAACCTATCAACCAAACAACAACAATCACTTTCATACTCATTCCTATGGACAAAACCCACCAATTAAACACACCCTAAAATGTCTTTGTATTTAACGAATTTCAACGAGTTTGTTGATGGATGACAAAAATTGTCATATCACAATAATACTATGACGAAATTATGATGCTCTAATAAAAAAAGAATGACTACAAGTGGATTGTCAGCTATAAATATATGACAAAAATGGAATTAACTCAATTAAATATTTAAAACAATGTATTTCTCAAAAAAATAAATGTTTGTTATTGATTCTATAAATTAAAATATATTGTCAATGACCTTGTGGTCTAGTAGTACCAAGTTGCTATTAGTTGTGGGTTCGAGTTTCAGTGTTAAGGGTGTAATCAAATCGAGTCAAATATCTTAGTATTTGTATTCGATTTGGCTACATTATTCGAATACATTCGAATTCGCAATGCCTAACTTTTTTTTTTTTTTTTTTAATTTTCTAAACTTCTTCAATATATTTCATTCGATTAATATTCGAATATTTATCGAATCAAATATATTATGATTCGTATATTCGAATAAAATTCGAATCCAAATATGTATTTGAATTCGGATTTGTATTTGAATAATTCAAATTTTGAATAAAAATATTCGAATTCGAATTCGAATCACGAATCGAATTAAAAATATATGATTTGTTTACATACCTAAAATTTTATTCGTATTCGATTCGACTACATTATACGAATATATTCGATTCCACTCGAATATTTGAATTCGCAATACCTAGTTAATTTTTTTTTCAAGTTCTCCAATGTATTTCATTCGATTAATATTTGAATAGTAATGGAATCAAATAGTATTCTGATTCGTATTCAAATTCGAATCAAAATATGTATTCAAATTCGAATCACGAATCGAATTAAAAATATTTAATTTGTTTATATCCTACTTAGTGTAGCACTCAAAAAAGAGAAAACCAGACGATAATTTCGGCCCGAGTATTGACGCAAGGAACTAAGGAAGAGCGAAACGGGCCGGGTTGGGTTATTATTATTATTATTATTATTATTATTTGTTGGCTTAAGAATCTCCGAAGCAGCGCTCAATTTACGCAATTTAAAAAGCAGGGAAGGACGGTGTGCCTGCCTGCAGCCTGCCAGAGTCTCCTCCTCCTCTGTATCTCAAGAGCCATTTTAATTTTTACATAGAATCTCAAACCACCTTTCCTCATCTTCCTAGGGTTTTGCATATATATATATCTCTCGTTCATCGATCTATTTGGATTGGATACTCATCATTGAGCGGAGGAGGTCATACTGTTTTTGCAAGCAATAGTAAAAATGGGATTCTCTTCTCTCCTCAGATCTGTGCCTGCTTCCCCTGTTCTACACGCTTCTTCATCTTCCCATCGCCATCAGGTATTTTCTTTTCTCTTCTTCGTTTATTTTTAATTCCTTTTTACATATTTTCAAGATGCCTTGTAATAAATAATATCATGCCCTCTCTCTATTTGGTGATACTGCTCTTTTGTTGCAAATCATCTTACTTTAACTTGATTCAATACCACCTGCCTTTTTTCTCTTATTCTCTCTTTGGCTGAGCTTCTTTAGAATTTGCGATCAAGTTTCATACTTTATGTATTGTCAACGGTAATAAACTTATACTTGCTCCTTCCTGAAACCTTCTGACACCCCAAACCTGAATCTTCCCCGCTTAAAAATCTTTTTTTTTTTTTTTTTTTTTCCATTAGTAATGCTTCTCTTGACAAACAACACATCTTTCTATTTTCTTTTCGTTTCTACATGTATCCTGTTCACAATAAAAAGCTATGGATTATGAAATTGTGAAGTAGTAAACTTTTTGAGTGCTTTAGTATGTGTTCTTACGGTTTCTATCTTATTTAAGTTGATGCTTATGCTTTCCTTGGTGTCCGAGAATATATTTCACTGATGTAATTTGGAATTCATTCCTCAAGGCATCATTGGCTGGCTTCAATCAAGGCTGCACCTCCGTCAAGTTTGAATCAAGCATCTTTGGTTCCGCTCTTCCAAATGTTCATTCATCTTCCGTACAGTTGCGTTGATCCTTTTTCTCTTTCTATGCTATATTGGATACTAGAAGTTAATTGCCTCAACATGATTATGCTTTAGCTAACTTTGATGCTCCATTCCTGTAGAGGATCTGGTTCCAGCAGTATTCAACCTGTTAAAGCTACAGCCACCGAACTACCTCCAACAATTCCAAGTATCAAGCTTGACCTTTTAGCCTAATGTATATGGTTTAATGATAAAAAATGTTGCTAATTGCTATTTTTGTTTGTTTTTCCTCAGAATCACAAACTACTGGGAAGACAAGGGTTGGGATCAATGGTATGTACTGTCTGCTTCAATATCGGCCATCAAATGGTATTTAGCATGTAAAAAAATTTCAACTTTTTTGCAGGGTTTGGAAGGATTGGAAGGTTAGTTTTACGAATTGCAACGTCAAGGGATGACATTGATGTGGTTGCAGTTAATGACCCTTTTATTGATGCTAATTACATGGTGAGAATGTAAATTTTGCTAAATGATCTTCTCTTTGCATGGAAACTTGTATTAGATATTACTATACCATTCAACTTCAAATCAGATTATTTAGTTAAGGGAGCATATGCTATGGAGAACAGGACTTGACTCTACATGTAGTGTTGACATTTTTTTGTTGTTGCATTCTATTATCATCATTATTAAGGTAGCATACAACTGCAACAGTTTTTTGAGTTATTACTGATTACCGATATGTGCTGCGTTGTTCTTTTCAGGCATACATGTTCAAGTATGACTCCACTCATGGTGTCTTCAAAGGAACCATTAGGGTCTTGGATGAGTCTACTCTGGAAATAAATGGGAAGCCTATCAAAATTAGCAACAAGAGGTACAGCTGCAATATCACCAGTAATAAACTTATGGACACGAGGAAATAATGAAAAGAACAGGGATTGTCATTCCTAATACTTACACTGAAAAGTCTTTGCAATACAGGGACCCATCAGATATTCCTTGGGGTGATCTTGGAGCTGATTTTGTTGTTGAGTCTTCTGGTATCTTCACCACAGTTGAGAAGGCATCTGTGCACAAAAAGGTCAATAATCTTTTAGTGTTGCCTGGTTGCCTCAACTTGTTCTCCTCTATCTCTATCAATGCAGCTCTTAATGTTCATTTTATTTTTAGGGTGGTGCAAAGAAGGTTGTCATCTCAGCTCCATCTGCTGATGCACCTATGTTTGTGGTGGGTGTTAATGAGAACACATACAAAACAACCATGGATGTCGTTTCCAATGCCAGTTGTACCACCAATTGCCTTGCTCCTTTGGCCAAGGTTTTACTGCTTCTTGAGTCTTTAAGGAGATGTGATTTAAATCTTTAATATATAGGTAGATGATGATCTGACCTTTGAAATTTTGCTTGTTTATATTATTTCATAGGTGGTTCACGAGGAGTTTGGCATTGTAGAGGGTTTAATGACAACTGTGCACGCTACCACAGGTTATAGTTCCATCATTGCTGTCCTTGTTCTCTAGCTTCTCCTCACTAAAAACTACTGCACTCATCAATACCTTTCTCTATTACTTAATGCATACCTTTTCTCCCTTGATTTTTTCAGCCACACAAAAGACAGTTGATGGCCCTTCCATGAAGGATTGGCGGGGAGGCCGTGGAGCTGGGCAAAACATAATCCCCAGCTCAACTGGGGCTGCAAAGGTATGAAATAAATGCCAATCGTGATCAGTGACAAACTTCCATGTGACATTCTAATTCATATTGAATTTTGTAGGCTGTTGGAAAAGTTCTTCCAGCACTTAATGGTAAGCTCACTGGAATGGCCTTCCGTGTTCCCACACCTAATGTCTCTGTTGTAGACCTAACTTGTCGGCTGGAGAAGAGTGCTTCTTATGAGGATGTCAAAGCAGTCATAAAGTATGCTTATGCCTTTTCTCATCTTCCCTCCTGTTCCTTGTTTTTCATATCTTCTATTGCTTTCATTGAACTGTGTACTTGCTCTCTCCAGGTATGCATCGGAAGGTCCACTGAAGGGCATTCTTGGATACACAGATGAAGATGTTGTATCAAATGATTTTGTTGGTGATTCCAGGTGACAGCATGCTGTTCTTTATTCGGTTCTTCTGGACAGTGTCTTTAGAATGATACTGTTACACTACTCCACTGCAACTATTTTTGCTTGCAACTCCATAATTGTTAGCAAACTTCTATAATTTGTCAGTTGTGTTTTGTTGTGTTCACAGGTCAAGCATTTTTGATGCCAAGGCTGGTATAGGTTTGAACGACTCTCTCATGAAGCTTGTGTCCTGGTATGATAACGAGTGGGGTTACAGGTATATACTCTTCTCCCTACCACCGCTAATGTATTTGCACAGAAATAAATTATGTAACCCAAAACTGGTTGCTAATGTATTTGCACAGAAATAAATTATGTAACCCAAAACTGGTTATTTTGCTTGCAGCAATCGGGTGTTGGATTTGATAGAGCACATGGCATTGGTTGCTGCTGCTACCACCAACTGAATACCAGAGATGGCCAAGGTTGCAAGCAACATTAGCTAGCTAGGCTATAGAGGAGAATTGAATTGTGTAGGGAGTGGTTAGATTTGTTGTGGGAGTCCCCTTTTTGTTTCTGAATGGACTACATCCATAAAAATAACGAATAATTGGGCTTGTATTACAGAAAGACTTATTTATTTTTTCGTTCAATATTTCGTAACATTACGCTTTTTGAGGTTGCCTAAATAATGAGGTTTGCCATTATGTATTGATATCAATTTTAGTCCTATGAGTATTAGTAAAATGAGTATTTTTATTCACGACTTTTGTTTTAGTACCAATTTTTATTCATGACTACTGTTATAGTATCAAAAATTTATCATGTTGGTCACTCTTTTTAAGGTAGGTTGAAATTTAGAATTTTTAAAGATATTTTGGTTATTTTCAATTTAAGCATGAATAAAGAGATTTAAGTTCTAAGATTGATTTTACATCTTATCTTATATTAAAACAATTGGAATTTTAAAATGTTTTAAACAAATGAATGATCGTCGTGATAAATTTTTACACAAACAATTATTGATAGAAATTAAACATGTGCATCAAATTATCATTTTACTAATACAAATGTGACCAAAATTGGTATTTACTCCTATTCTCTTGAAGATGATGTAGGTGAGAGGTTACATTACGTTAAGAGTTTGCAGAGTGAGTGTGTGGCAGGGCAAAGAGTTTTGGTGTGAAATTCTTAGAGTATGCAGCAGAGAAGAATAGGATATGTGAAGTAGCAAGAAAGAAAGAAAGACATTTCAGAATTTGATTTAACAACCAAGCATTAAGCTATTAATTAATTAAAGCATGTCTAAACTCTAAAGCCTAGGTGGAGGCTAAGGCATCATCCTTGCAACAATGCTCTAAATTAAAACAAGGAATTTGTTCAAATCACACGGTCAGGTAAAGAAATCCAAGCCCAACTCAATTAATATTTTAATAATAATAATAATAACAATCTCAGATGGATGGAATGCTTTCTTACATGCCTTAATCTAAAAAGTCAGCAATAAATAGTATAGTGTACCCTAAACAAACACTACTACTACTACACCAGAATATGCTTCAATCACACTTTTGAGCAAATCCTCCTGAGATATCCTCCACCCACTAGCCTCCAATCACTCACTCATTTTTGCTGCACTATACCATTTTCCATCAAGTACTCAACAAATTCATCAATCAGATAAGGCCACGCACCTTCTGCATCATAGTTTGTTAATGCAGGGTCCACACTCTGCATCAATGAACAACAACAAACAATACCATAAATCATACCATACTTCTTCACTCTTCTCCTTTCTTTCACTGCAATAAACAAAGAAATAAAGAACATTTCTCCAACTTACTCTAGCAAATTCAAGAAGCTGAGCCCAAGTGTCACGTGAGATGGCTTTATTATGACGTGCCTGAATACATGCCAAATTAACCAACCGTAAATGATCAACCTCAAGGGGAAGGATGGTTCATGATCACACAACTCAAAATTATGAAGAAGAGAAAACATTCTCGCAGCACTCACTCACAACATTTTCATGAAGCCTAAGCCAGATATACCATATCCCAATCTATGAATACTTGAATTCAGCAACAATAGATATAATAATTATAATTCCCCATGTTACTGAATTACTTAATATGCCAGCTTGTCACAATCATTTCAGTCCCAATCAGAAATGAAAGTCAATTAGTTAAAAGTAACAAGTTCAGCAAATGACAGGTCTTGAAAACAAAAAATCTGCAAACAAATTACAGAACAGAAATTTTGGTCACCTGTAGGAACTGGCACCAATGTTCAACCAGTGGCCAATGTTTTTCTGCAAATAGCAACTGCCACATTCCAATTGCTGTATCCAAGGCTAAAGATTTCTGACCCTGCAATTAACAAGTGTGTATCCATATTCATCAGCCTACCAGGACATTTAACATGAAATGATAATTTTACGTTCATGTAAAGTGGTTAGTATGTCTTACACTCCATTTTAACTTATGGGAAATTTAAAAGTATGCGATGGAGGAAGAGGGGATTAAAAATTAGTTAACTGCTTATGCTTGCCTAAAAGCAATTGTTTTAACCTGTATTGGGGAAACAAGGCACTTAACTGCTTAGGCTTCCACTCCTCTTAGGGTCTAATGCATCTTGTATTGAAATGCCTACTGCAAAAAGCAAGCAAGCCATACCTACAGAGATACACAGCGTTATTCCCTCATTATTACTCATCTCTCTTAATTTTTCAAATCCTTTCTAATCCAGTCACCAGTCAACAATATTCCCTGTCTCATTTAATTGTTAACCTTCCATTTTCTCACCTTACAACTATAATTGCTTTTCCTAAGCATGACTTAGTCCTTGTCATTCCAAACTACCCGTTATTGTTACATCTTAAAAAATTAAATTTGAATTAGCACCCCAAATACACCAACTTGAATATTAAGGGCATAAGTATAAAATAAGCTTAGCAGGCCAACTTCTCTAGGAGTAGTGCAAAGTGAAAATGAGCCAAATGGAATGTAAGGGAGCAGTAGGACTTTAATGTAATGTACTAGTTTGGTACGTTTCACCAAAAAATATGGCCAAAAAGCAGGTAGCTGAATATCGAATGCATGCTGATGTAGCACCCAAATTTATCCCTATTTCCTAGTCCCTTGTACAAAATTATATGCTTTCAGTCAAAGCACACTAAAAAATTTTTTACTATGTATTTTAAACAACAATCAAGGAAGTGGAACAACGTTTTGCATTCACTCCAATAGATTCATGGTTGCAACAACTGCTATACTTCATTACTTCTAAAATTTAAATCTTCATGAAGAATTCATTTGCCATAGACAAGAATAAGTTCAAAAAAGGCTCCACAAGACATAAAAATAATTTGTCTCAAGCAAAGGTAATTAATTGAAAGCAAATCTGGACCAAGTGTGAAAGGCTCCTGCATTTATGCAGGGTTTAAGCCCCTAAGGAAGATACATGCGACATTATATCTATTTTCAAAGTTGTTCCAAAACTGTGAGGGCACAATCCCAGCCACTTTTAGGTAATTGAGTAAAACAAGAAAAATTAGATAAAAGGAACAATGAAAAGAAAATAAAAAAAGAGAGAATATATTTATCAACAAATTTACCTTCTCCTTTGCCCAGCCAAAAGCAAAGTTATAGATCTCACGAAACTTGTCTGGACAAAATAAACCAAAAAATTCAAAGATAAGACTTTTTATTTCAATATCTGACTAATGATATAATTATATTTACCTTGTGTCTTCACTAATTACTATGCTTACATCTGACTTTAAGTGTAAGTTTTTTCTTTCGGAACAACTAACAACACACTAACCAGCTTTGGTATGTCATTTATCTTGCTGTTGAATACTGTTTGCAATTAACTTTATTGCACATTAATGCAACATAAATAACATATGCAACTTCAAATTCAATGGTCATGGACTTCATTTAACAATTTGCAAGGTCAACCTCTCAATGCTCAGACAAGGTAAACCCATTTTGTATTGCATGCACTTACTTAAAGCCTAGGCAAATGTATAAGAAAGCAGGACATAAAGAACATAGACAACTTTGGGGGAATCAGGATTTCAAATCACAAAACTATTCAGCACTAAAAAACTGAAAGTTACAAAAAAAAAAAAAAATGGTTGAGACAAGGCAACTGCTTCTTCAATTAACAGTGCAAACATTTTCAAAACATACGTTCGTCCTTCAGCTCAGCACGCATGAAGGGTATTTTTTCTCTGAACTTGTCCAGTGAATCTACTCTGCCATTTCAATACAAACTTCATTAGCTGAGATCAAAAGTTATTAACTGTAACTTTGATGGATGCAGAACCAACTTGAAGCTCTCAAATGAGCTGCTCTACACATACCCAAGGGATTGTAATCCACCAATGAACTCCTGCTTGGAAAATTCACACATAGTAGCAGCCCTCATGTGCCATGAAACTACCAACTGTGGTCAATGGCAAATGCGATGTCAAATAAAGATTAGGGATGATACATTATACACGACAAGAAAAAATTGCTCTTTGCACAAGAAACACAAACAATGAGAGAACCCGCAATTATATAACAAAGTATTTGTTATTGATGTAATAGGCAGGCAGGCAGCACAATCTCATCCCTTATTAGATCTTAATTGGAAAATAGTTAATTCCCAAGAACGCTTGGCTAAGACTCTTAAGAGAATATATGGCAATTAGCTATTATTTGAATCACTTTTTCCATAACAACTCCAGTTCCAAACTATCTTTCCAGCACCTACTCCCTCCAATAAGGCAGTTTAGAGTAGGATGGAAATAAACAGGAAAATAGAGAAGGATAAAATAATGTGTTTTGGCATATGTTAGGTATACGTACCATGACTATGTCCTGAGGATCAACCTGTCAAGAAAATTTCCAGTTATCAAATTGGCACTACTACCCAGATATCCAAAAGAGGATTGAGCAAGAGACAAACTTAAATCCAATAAACAACACATTAACCACCAAAAAAAAAAAAAACATGCACACACAAAGAAAACTCCCAACCAGGTAAACCTACCTGAATATCATTGCAGAGGAGACTAATACCATCAGCCATTATCATGTCAGCATAAGGATCTGAAAAACAAGAAAAGCTCAAAGAATAAGATGAATTCATCAAGCATGTAGACGAAAAACAAAAGAATTTACTTAAGATCTGCTAGTAATTATAACTCCACTGTAGAAAAGAGACTTAATGCCATTTTGCATTTAGTTTCTCGAAAGTGTTGCATTTCAGGTAAAAAAAAGGCAATGTGAAGATGATCTATTGAATATTGCATGACAATGAAGGTAGTCATAAATTTCCTGGCCACCAAATAAGGAATCTTAAAAGGTTACCTTAAATCACACACACATAATATAACCTTAAAAGGTTACCTTTGTATCTATTGTAAAGCTCCTCCAAGCGTCTTTTGTCTGCAGATGACTTAACCTGGGGCTGGCTGTAGAATACATCTAATGCTCCTTCAAGGTGCCAATCACTTGCCTTCAGAGACTGATGAGCTACCTTTTCACTACACCCAAAATAGAGATGGTGCAGTTGAGGAAGAGAGACAAGGCTTTCCAACTCAATTGATATAAATTTTGAAAATTGAAGGAGTCAAAAACGTGCGTATAAAGATGTTTCTCTTAATTTAAAGTAGTTCTTGCTTAGTCACACAAAAAGCACAATGGATACACATGTGAGTTGAAGCTAAGAGCATGGGCAAGTTCAGAGAGTGTAAGAGAAAACATAGCAAATTGCAGAACTAAAATTAACAGCAATGGTATTTCTATACATATCCACTTAGAGGCCAATGACAGCTGAAGGACAATAAATTGCAATTGGAAAGGTGTAAGTTACCTAGCCCCAGTAATTGTCATGAATTGCTGAAGTTTGTCTCGGTGTCCTCTACCCAGCCTATTCTGCTTATGAATAAAAGGATAAGAACAGTTGCAAGTAGCAAAAGCGTCTCAAGAAGAGCCAGAAAACAGAAAAACAGATGCAATAACAAAAAAACCGGAAATCGAGATAAATAAGCTGCTGCTAAGGCAGGCAGATAACACGCTGTATCAAAAAGCAGACGTATTGAGATCTAGAGAGGGCAATGAATTTGCACATATCAGTAGGGCTAAAAATTGCATAAACAACATGAAAATTAGGTATAGAAAAATGGAATCTTTAGGTCAGACAGAGGCAGAAACAACTGAATAAAGGAATAACAATTTGTTTGTAAGAGAAAAGGGCGTATGAAGAATTGTAGTATTGTGATATAAGATTCAACCTTGAAGAGAAGAGAAAAGCGAACGAGGGAGGCAATGAGAACCTACCATTTTCTTGAGCAGATTTGATGCAGGAAACCTAAATCGAAGAAAGAAAAAAAAGTATATGTATATGAATCAGGTTATGGCGTAGCGAGAGAGAAACGCACGCCTTGGGGGTTCCCACTTTCCAGATTCTCCTCTCTAGCTGAGCAGAGCAGAGCCAGCGGTTGATGCTTTTCGGTTTATTTACGATGCTTTTTAGTGTGTTCTTACCTTACGCAGTCATTTATGTTTGTCTTGTGTTGTAGCCTGTAGGTAAAAACTTGTGATTTCTTCCTTTTGTTGTCCATTATTATATTATTATTATTACTATTATTATCATAATAATCATAATAAATATATTATAATATAATGCCATAATGCCATAATACATAATACTTGGTGACATAAACCTATTGCTGTTAAATTTAAGGAAATTAGTACAACACTTTAAGTAATCTATTTGATATATTATTACTCCATATAATAATGCTCCTCCGTGTGTCTATTTTAATTAACGAGAAATTATTTTTAATTTAAATTTTTATAATATTAAAATTTAGTATAATTTACAAAATTTATAGATAACAAATAAGCTCTTGAACTTTTTTTAAAAGGGCAATTAAGCCCTTGAACTTAAAAAAATGTGTCATTAAACTCTTAAACTTATCATTTTAGTGCATCCAAACGCAACAGCCGGTAATTTTACCTGAAATAGCCAGTCATCAAATTTCCAGCGACAATTCCAACAAAATTCTGACGATCCTATGAATTAAAAAAAAAAAAAATCGACAAAGATCGTCGGATTTCGGCCTTCTTCCACTGGAGAAGATGACCGGACAGCCGCCTTCTCCAATGGAGAAAATGACTAGATCTGGTCGTCTTCTCCACTGGAGAAGGCGACCGTCCGGTTGTCTTCTCTAGTGGAAGACAGCCGGAATCCGACAATCTTCGTCGATTTTTTTTTTTTTTAATTCAAAGGATCGTCAGAATTTCGTCGAAATTGTCGCCGAAAATTTGATGACTGGTTATTTTAGGTAAAATTACCGGTTATTGGGTTTAGATGTACTAAAATGATAAGTTTAAGGGTTTAATTACACATTTTTAAAGTTCAAGAGTCTAATTACCCTTTTGAAGAAAATTTAGGGACTTGACACTTTTCTCAAATTTATATATTTACAAATTACATAAAAATACTATTAAAAACAATAAATTAAATTTAAAAATAAGTAAAATATACTAAAAGAAATTTGAGTTAACAAATACGGAGTACTAAATATGTCAATAAAATGGAAAGTTTACCTTATTATTTGGATGGCAATTTACCTTCCGGCGAAATAAAAAAGAAAAGAAAAGAAAAAATAGACAGCATTTTTATTTAGGATGTGCTTTGGTGTCTTCTTTCTCGTCACTAAGAAGAAGGACTGTGTTTGCTTTGCTCCGCCCAGAAAGAAGAAAGCAATAACAGTTGCGGGTGAGTAGAGTAGGAGTAGGCATGGAATTTTGGATTAATTTGTTGTGTATCCAATACGAAAACGCCAATTCCGCTAACACAGCTGAGCTGCTCCGCTATTTCCCTTCAATTCCCTGGAATACATTATTTTTTAATTGTATTTCAGTGATTATCAGGTAAGGTGGATGAAGAGTTAACCGCTGGCTCGCAGCCAATTGGATTTATTCAGTGCTGACCCATGGGAGCAGTTGGGCTGACGGCAATACACATGATGTATGTATGTATGTATTGTTTTCAATTTCCTTTCCTTTCCGATATGATGTTGTCAGTCAGGTGTGGACGGACGGGTAGAAAATAAAAGATTCTCACTAATAGGATGCTTTACATACCTTGTGAGGTTGGATTATTTGGTACGTTTAGTATAAATTAAGTTGATGTATATTATTATTATTATTATTAGTAGTAGAAAATGACAGCAGCTTGTGTTATGCATATGTCTGTCTTCGAGGAAGAGGAGTTGTTGTTGTTATATATATATATATATATATATATTAATCTAATCTGATGCCACAACGTAACCCTGCAGCATTATACATGCCATGCCTCCCCTAGTGTGGATTGTGGAAGATATCTGACTTACCACTTAGAAAACAAAAATATACACCACCTTTTGGTTGTATATATGTATTTATAATGGATGATGCATGAAGTGTAGCTTTCTCCTAATTAATTTTCCACATGCCTCCCCTTTTTTCCCTTATAAAATGCTTGCTTAGCATCCATCCTTCTTTCATTGCAATCATTTCATTTCATTTCATTTCATTTCTGGGAGGAATTGGAAAATGGCTCTTGATGTTCGCACTGATTCATCAGATTATCGTATGGAGCTTCTTTCTCCAGCTGCCACTCCGGTGGCAGCTGGGGATAGTGAAATTCTCACACGGGTCCCTTCATGGCGCCTCAATTTTAATGAACATCGCCTACCTCAAAGACGTGCTGATGCTCATTCTGGATTTGGAACGATTCTTCAATCCTTGAGTCAGTTTCTAACTCTTCCTTCAATCACAATTCTCTCTCTCTCTCTCTCTCTGCATTTTATTGATTATAGAAAGTGACTAGTTTTTTTTTTTTTTTTTTTTTAAATGTCCTTGTCTCTCTTTAGGAAGGCAAAGGAAAATTAGACAATATTACAAGAGGCAAGAAGAGCTTCTCAAAGGTTTCAATGAAGTGGATGAATTCCTTGAGTTAGGTTACTTGCCAGGAGCTTTGTCAGAGGTATATATTTAATTTTGTTCTAACTATCTACGATACCCAATTGCTTGCTTATTTATACTACTAGCAACAAGTATGCATGCTACATAAGTACATAACAAATGATGCAATGCTAACAAAATATGCAAATTACCCAACCACCAATTTGAAGTTGTTTCTCAGCTCTTTGATTACCTGTTGATTAAAGAGCCACATAAAGTTATCTCACTAAATAAGAGAGAGATTATGCTGGATTGGATTACATTGCTTCCTTTATCTTCTAGCAAAACCGCACAACGTAACTATACTGTGTATAGACTCTAGTAGTTCTTACACAGCTTAATTCTCTTGTATTGTATGTTCTTTCTCACAGGGTGAAATGAAGCAAGCTGATAGAAGGGAAAAAATAGCCATTCATGCATCTAACATAGCCAACTTTGTGCTCTTTGTTGCAAAAGTTTATGCTTCTGTTGAGAGTAGGTCATTAGCTGTGATAGCATCAACATTGGACTCACTCTTGGATCTTTTATCAGGATTCATCTTGTGGTTTACAGCTCATTCTATGAGCAAACCAAACCAATATAGATATCCAATTGGAAAGCAGAGGATGCAACCAGTGGTAATCTTCAATTCTTCGATCTAAACCCCCGCCCCACCTTTTAAAGGATATTGCTTCTCTCTCTCAACATCTTCAATTACTGACACCTCAAAGTTCATTGCCTAGGTTTCTTTATATATATATATATATATATATATATATATATATATATATATATATATATATATATATATATATATATATATATATATATATATATATATATGGAATTAACTACAATAATAATTCTTGTAATGTTCCTCCAAATTAAATTCTGTTTTAGTAAGCTTTGTAGTGAAAGCTCCACATCCTGGAACAGACCTTCCTAGTCTTATAGGAGTAATATAAAAATATATATATAGTTAGGCTGGTTAAGTCTAGTATCTGCTGCTATCAAATGATGCCAGCCATATTAGTTATTTATTCCATCTTTATCTTCAAGACTCGTGATTATTTTGATTAGTCAACTCTTGAATTGCTTTTGCTATTATAACCAACCATCTTTATTTGCTTAGCTATAACTACGTTAATTTTATAAACTTGCAGGGAATTGTTGTGTTTGCTTCAGTTATGGCAACCCTTGGATTGCAAATATTGTTTGAATCCGGTCGACAACTTATCATGGGGGTATGTGTGTGTGCAAATTAAGCTTCAACCAGTACCAGAACTTAATTGTTTAAAAAAAAAAATCAACAAAAGTTTTATATGCTCTTGATTTTCTTCAAAATGCATTACCTTATTATCCAAATGAGAGAGGAGCATATATGCATTGTTGGTTGGGGTATCAGTCTGATAATGTAATGTACATGTATAAGCATGGGCATACAGGAAAAGATGAAATTATTATTTGTTTAAAGGTAGCTAGCTGGGTAAGTTGATTAGGCAAGTAGAGAGAGAGAGAGAGGGGTTTTAATTCTCAAGTGTTTGTGCAGTGCAGACTCATCCTGAAAAAGATGCGGAGAAGGAAATGTGGATGATAGGGATTATGGTATCAGTGACAATTATAAAGTTTATTCTGATGCTATATTGCCGGCAATTCAAAAATGAAATCATCAAAGCATATGCTCAAGATCATTTTTTCGACGTCATTACTAACTCAGTTGGACTGGGAACTGCAGTTCTGGCAATACACTTTTTCTGGTGGATTGATCCTGTTGGGGCTATCATTGTAAGTTAGGTTAGGGTTATAAGTAGTAGTGGGTAAATAAATATAAATATATATAAAAAGAAACTAACTAACTTGGGGTGGGTGCAGATTGCTTTGTACACGATGAGTACATGGGCAAGAACAGTGATGGAGAATGTTGGGTCGTTGATAGGGAGGACAGCACCAGCAGAGTACCTATCAAAGCTGGTGTATCTGGCTTGGAATCACCATGAAGACATAAAGCACATAGCAACAGCAAGAGCATACAATTTTGGGTCGGGGCGATACTTTGTGGAGATGGACATAGTATTACCAGGAGAGACAACGCTGAATAGAGCACACAACATTGGAGAGTCACTTGAAGAAAAGATAGAGCAGCTCCCTGAGGTGGAGCGAGCTTTTGTGCATGCAGACTTCGAGGCCGTTCATCAGCCAGAGCATAGCCAAAAAAAGACCAACAACAAGTGAAACAAAACTGGTTCCATGGATGGTGTGTAATTTATTTTGTTGTTATACATACATACATACTGTCTAGCTAGTGTGTATTGTATTGTATTGTATTGTATTGTGGTGTGTGTCATTTTTGCTTTAATTAATTTGTGCATTAATTAATTGTTTGTTGGAGATCAGAGCTATAAACCCAGGTTTTGCGTTGATAGTGGAAAGACTTGCAGGCAAGCAGAGGCAGGCGTTGTTGCTGCTAATTTAACTCCCTCTATCTATCTATCTATTAGTAGCTTTTCAGTAACATGAAAGAAAAATCTAAACACTATAAATAGGGAAGGGAATATGGTTATATGAAATGAGGGAGCCAGGGAGGATATTGGATTATTTGGCAAGTGCTGTATTGCTTTAAATTATTATTATTGTTGTTGGAGGTAGTTAGACGACTGGCTAACACAACCTCAAAACAATTTGAGGGAGAGAATAAATTGACATAATTATTACAAGAGATTTGAATTCTGAACCCTGTTTAATGTGTCCTCAGGAATATTTATACAAGATTTACATTCTTGGAAAATGAAAGAAAACAGTTAACTTCCTAAACCACCGGATTCCTTTCCTAATGTTAAAAAGGAAAATCTCGCCAAAAACCTTAAAGAAATCTTGAGAAGATCTTCTCTAACCATTTTTGGATTCAGCACTGTCGGCACTAACTCAGTCGCACCACCCTGACTATTTGCCGAGGGCTGGGCGATCGGGCTCAAACCCAATGCCTCAGAGAAAAGCCTGGCTACTGGCTACTGGGTCCCTCCAACCTTCTGGGTAGAGTGATCAAGCCAGGCCCAAACCCAACACCTCAGAGAAGAGCCTGACTACTGGGTCACTAGGTCCCTCTAGCCTTCTGGGTAGAGTGATCAAGCCGCAAGCTCTGAATGCTATGACATGCTCCTGATAGGATGCCCTACTCAAGGATATCATATTACTTGTGAATATTGTTAATTGACTCCACTATGTACAATATTGAAAAAATCGCAAGGCGCCCTCTAAGCGCCTGGGGACCACCTAGGGCGCCTAAGAGGCCGACCGCCTAGCGCTTAGGCGCCATTTTTGCAACATTGACTATAGATTAAGAATAATAAGCTCATTCTTTATTACATCATGAATAATAAGTCCAATCCTTATTATACTACAAATAGGCCCAAATTATTATTTGACTTTCTTGAACCGGTTACTTATTCATGTGACCCAAGTCCTTATACTCATTTTGAACAGGGCACACAATGCATTGTGCACCCTGATGCATGATATAACGATTGTAATATACCATCCGTTCAATTATTTTTTTTTTGAAAGGACCATCCGTCAATTATTATTAATGGTGATGGAAAGTGGAAAGGAAGGAGAAGGGCATTGTAGTAATTTGGGATTTTGGGAAGAGGCTGTGGGCTTTAGGGTTTAACTTAGTTAGGCTATATATAGGAGATGAGAGAAAAGAATATTAGCACAGCAGGCAGCAGCCTCGTAGATGGTTGCAGTCTTGTTTTGTTTGTGCGATTAGAGATTAGAGATAGATAGAAATGGTAGAAAGTAGGAAAAAAAGAAAGGCCAATGATGTGTAAATGAAGAATTGTCCGTACCATCCGAGGAGGTGCGGTGAGGTGAGGCGGGGATGTGTTATCCCTTCCCATCCCATCCCATCCATCCATTGATGTATAATCTTCACCCTGAGGCCTCCTTTCCTTTTTGATTTCTTTGTTAAGGCAACAAAATAGTCACTGATGCACTGTTGAAACTTTAAAACAGTAGTAGTAGTGCATACATACATACACACAGCGCTGTACGTTGCCGAAATAAACACATCACATGCCTGCTTTCTGCTCTGCCCTATATGGCTATATATGGCCTTTATGCATTCAGATTTCAGATGCATCCACATTTCTTTCAAACCTTGTATTTTTGATTCATGAGTTTACAATAATCAAAATTAAAATCATTGTTAGTATTTGGTTGATAGCTTTTTAAAATATATTAGTATCAAAGATGTAAAATATTTTCATCAAAATCTATTAATATTACAGGTATTTGATTTTTATTTGTGAATCAAACACACCTTTAATTTGTCTAAATAATATCAGTCTCATCAGATACTAGAGTTTTGGATTAAAATTGGGAAATTTGTTGAATTTTTTAGATTATATATATATATATATATATATATATATATATATATATATGTGGTCAAATTATATGTGGTCACTCCTTTCTATGAGTGTATGTGGTCAAATTATATCATAGTACTTGGATTTGTTTTTTTTTTTTTGTTTTTTTTTTTTGTTTTTCTATTGGGGCTGTTTGGTATTTTGTTTACGTTATTAATTTAGTTTTAAAATATTCTGCATGATTTTAGGGATTTGTTTTTATGGTTATGTAGATGCTCCTTTTTAATGGTGATGTATCTTTGTTTTCTTTGTTCAAGGCACAGATAGTTGCACATGGGAAAGAAGTGAAGTTCACAGTTGCGCGTAGTTGTTATTAATTAAATTTTAAATTGTTGTTGTACAATTGTTTATGTTACATTGTGTAGTTAAGATATCAAGCAAAAAAGAACACAGCTAAAGGGAGAAATGCAAACAAACATGTATTGCACATTTACACCACACCACCTTGGTGCACAATGGGGAAAACGTGTTTGCACAGGGCAATAATTGGATACATGTAGAGTTAAATGAATTGTGTGTTTAATTTTGAATTATTGCACATAAACAATCTTATGTACACAATAGTAAACAACTAGTGTGCTACAACCTTTGTTATGATTTTGGACTACAGTTGCACATATGATTAAATAACATTGCATATGATAGTAACAAAAATCACATTGACTAAGTAGTTGTATAGTTGCCAAAGAATAATTGTACATAACAATAGTAAAAATCATAAAAATCCAAGCAGGGATTACTGACATTACAGCGCCATTGACTGATGGTGGTTGTTTATCTTCCATTGGGCTTCTTTGGTGGGTGGGTATTGTTGTCATGTGGTCTGTTGTTGGTGGTTGAATTGGAAATCCGACGATCGTTTACAAGGTTTACAATTTGAAGTTGCGTAAAGGTCATAGACTTCCGCAATTGGACTCTTCGACTTTGATTAGAGTTTGTTGGTGGCTTGGCGTTGCTCCCTTTGCGTCCCCTTAGTCATCTTCAATGGATAGTTGTTGCTACCCTGAGGTACCAAAACCTTAACAACAAAGAATGAGGAAAAATGCACTAAAATTAATTTAAACCAATAGAACTTGAAAATAGTGTGCAATTAGCACTCCTAAAATATCCCTAACCTTATAATAAAATCTTAAATTTTGAAATTGACTAGTAGTTGTACATGTACAGTTTATTATTCTCATGTTCATTCTAGATCTATTTTTTCTTTTGGTATGCAGAAAATTGTTCATTTGCCCTGTGCCTAACCACTCCAATAAACGACAAGGCATATGGTATTCATATATGGGCAATTTCAATACGAGGGTTATGAAGTTAATATATGTGCCAAACTGCATCACGAGTGTGAGATGATTAATTAATAATTAATAAATAAATAAATAAAAATAAAAATAAAATTTTATTGTGTGCAAGCAAAAAAAAAAAATTTTAAAAAAAAAATCAGAATTAGTGGCGGCCACTCATAACACGCAAACACACCACACAACAAACCCCAACTCCGCACACAATAATCCTCTTTTACTCTTTCTCCCAACCAGACAACGAGCTGAGGCCTGAGGCTGCTTGCTACTAGACTAGGCATAGCCATAGCCAGGAAGAAGACGCTACGCTGCTGCTATGCCTATGATGGCATGTATGATACCTAATAATCCCTCTCCTTTCGCAATTCTGCTAGTGCAGCAGCAACTTCAATCCAAAGATAAGCCACAACTCATACCAAAGCACCACCTGCTGCTGCTTTCCAACACCTCCTCATCATTATCATCTTCAACCGTGAAGCTCTTGGACCTCCCGCCCTCTCCTTCTCCCTCTACCCTAAACCATAACACTTGTTCTACCCATAAACCTCACCACAAAGATGATTTCTATGTCAATCTTGGCTCTGCCGTCCGCACCCTTCGCCAAGACCTCCCCCTCCTCTTTACCAAAGACCTCAACTACGACATCTATAGGTATGTACCCCCGTCACTCACTCTTTTTTGTAAGCAATTCAAGCATGGATTATTGTTTTAAGGTTTACTGGTGTTGTGTGGGGTCATTCATTTCCCCCCACCCCATAAATAATACAGAATTAGTAGTGTTTATGAGTTTTTATTTTTCCAATTAATTTATTTATTTGCAGGGATGACATAACCTTCGTGGACCCCTTGAACACCTTTACCGGAATTGATAACTACAAATTGATCTTCTGGGCTCTAAGATTCCACGGAAGAATTCTGTTCAGAGAGATCTCACTGGAGGTTTATAGGGTTTGGCAGCCCTCTGAGAATGTCATATTGATCAGATGGAACCTCAGAGGTGTCCCCCGGGTACCTTGGGAAGCCAAAGGCCAGTTTCAAGGCACATCTACCTATAAATTAGACAGAAATGGCAAAATTTATGAGCACAAAGTTGATAATCTTGCTTTCAATTTCCCCCAGCCCCTCCTCAGACCACCACCACCCGCTTATGTACTCGACTTAGTTACTGCCTGCCCTCCTGCTGCTGCAACTCCATTCTCGTGGCCTCCTCCTCTTCATATGCATTCATCTTGGTTAGAGTTTTATCGTGCTGTTAAGGGCACATTGGACCGTCAAACTTCCTCCATTCCTCATCAAGATTGCTTTCTTCCTTGCTCATAATCAAACTTCACTTCCTACTCTAGGATTTATATATATACTACACATACAAGCTGCTTAAATTATTATTATTATTATTATTATTATTATTATTATTATTATTATATTTCATCATGATCTTGCATACTAGCTCAGAGTTATTAGTGTTTATACTTACGCAACCAAGTATAAAGGGATAATGATCTTAAGCTCTGATAGTTATGTTCTTGCTAGTGTACAAAGTTGCAAATATATGTATCCATGCATACAAAATTACACAACTTTCTCAATGCTAATTTGGTTGCTTCCACTTACACACATCTATCAAATTTTCTTTAGCCTTTTACATTAAGAAATTAAGTATTTCCTCTGCACTGGCAGGGTGATTCTAATTTAGTAGTCATCATTTCACTGATACCCACTAATCACACATAAGAATGATAAGATCCACATATTAGAAAAATCTTGGTCCATTAGCAAATGTGGTACAGAATATGATCCAGAACCATAGAAACTTTTAGGAAACAATAATATTGATTTTCTTTTCCAAAATGACTACATATATCACAACCCTTCTGTGCCAAACAACCAGATTAGTGGATACTCTACATTCCTACAAGTTTTCAAAGAAATCTCCTTCTGTCCCGTTTTCTATGATAAAATCACAATGCTTAGAGGCAAATCATTGAGAAAATGCTTCTAAAGGTTTTATAGCTGCAACTTTGCTGTATTCAAATCTCATATATTTCTCACATGTGACTTTTAGTAGTGTTGTTCTAGCAGCCTTATGGAATCTTAAGATCATCTCTGCACAGTTCCTGTGGCATTGAAATTAAGTGTAAAATGTCTGCTTAAATGATGAGTAATTTAAACAAAAAATGATATTGCAGAAATATACCTGAGTTGAAATTCTTTATAGCATGCATGCCTCTCCAGAAGAGGTGTCCATGCCGGAGTCATTTGCAATGTACACCGTGCAACATAGATAGCCGATGCACATAGCAAAGAGGGCTTGTAGTTCAAAGCTTCAAATTCAACCAAGCACAACTCAACTAGGAAAAATGCAAGATGTTCCAACTGGCATAAGATTTCGCATGAGAAGCATATTAATGAAAATGTCCAGAACACAAACTGAATCAATGAAGAAAGGATTAGAAACTCTCAATTAGGCAAGAACAAATTTCAAAAGGATAATTACAATTTTCAATTTTAGTGTAATTAGAAGAAATGGAGGATATCTTGATCCACTCTGCAATCATTTGATTTGAAATTCACAGGTACCTTTTTATTTGCTTGAGAGGCCTTAAGCAACCTTAGCATGAAGACATATGGAGTTGGTACATTTAGACGAAACAATAATTTCTTTAAAATAGCCTTCTCCTGAAAAAGAAAGATGTGCTCCATCATAGGTCAAAACACAGTAGCCAAAAACATTAAACACGACATTATTAACGTGATGTTTATACCAATGGCTATCGGGGCTCTGTTATTAGTATGGAATAGAGACCCCACATATTGGGCACAAAATAAAGGAACATGCACATTGCTTACCATTCCCAGCATTTGTTCTCTGGTGTATGACTCTGCTGATACACTGATCAAGTCCATGATCTGTACCCAAGCAAACAAAAGTTACAAATATTCTATCCCTTTTACTTTCCTCCTACAGATTAAATATTCACAGTTTCACATAATAACTCTGTAGACCCTGAAAGAAATATTGGAGTTCATTGAATAAATATTTACCCTTGGATGCCAAAAATCCTCATACTTTGATGCCAATAAGAGTGCAGTAAGGCCAACTAGCTGCATTTCATTTTTCTTGATGCATACTCGGGACAAATACTGGTCTAATATGGTAACCATGAGAAATAGAGTTTCTTGCATCAAGTCAAATTTTAGATGGACCTGTTAAAGTGACTGGTTAGTACGTTAAAAGGTGATAGAAGGTAATTAAATAAAAATAAATGAAGAAATAGAAACACAATGGCTTGCTATATAACAATATGTACTTCAATAAGCCAGTTTATTAATATGCCACGCATCTGAGGTGTAATTTCTGTTTGAAACTCCATGTAGCTTTTCAAAGGATGACTCTGAGCCTGTATTTGAGTTTGGCAAAAGGGAAGTGTCAAACATTTTTCTTTTTATTACAGAACAGGATAACATTGACACATAAAATGAGTAGAGAGGTAACAATATTATTACCTCCATAACCCAGTAATATTGATAGATATCATCAACATATTCAGAAACATCAAGATGGTTAGAGTTATCGTAGATATTTGGCAAAAACTCTTGCTTTGTATGCCCAGTTTGCTCTTTTAATTGCTGGAAAAACTGCAGGTTGTTACCAAAATGTCTAGAAAAAAATACATTCACAAGCATTGAAAGAAAAAGACTGGAAATAAACCTTTGGTCTTGTCATCAACAGAGAAGTGAAAGATTTTCTGCGCACAGACGCTCTTCTAGTTAAGATATTTGATTCAGATGTGACCAAGTCATGGTTGTTCTTAGAAGGAACCTCTTCTGAAGGTTGCTTAGAAAATTTTGGAGCAACGTATTTAGAAGGAGAAGATGTAACATGCTCTTCTTTTTTCTGGGATGAAATGACAGATTGAAATTTTGAGCTGCTTGGACAATGCATTCTTTTTTGTCTTGAGGCCATCAGGACTGTGGTCTTTAGAACTGGCTGAGATACAGAACACATAACAAAGTAGAGAGTCAAGAATTTTTCCAAAATATACCTTGACAACCCATTTGGTTCACATTACAAGCAAAAAAATAAAAATCACTAGTGTAATAACTGATTGTGGCACAATAGTTCTTAAAGGGTTCAGAGGTTTCTTACTTGAGGTAATACATTTCGTCCAGCCTTGGGCTTTGCTGAAACTAACAAATGGTAGAAAATTAATGGTGATAAAAACAGTTGTTCTCATAACTATCTAAAAAAAAAGCCCTTTAATATAGAGCAACCAACCTGGAAACCTTTGTTTTCCTATCCCATTTTCTGAACATTTGGCATTTTCCTATCAAAAATTAGTATAAATGTAAGCAACAGAACATAAACCCATACCTCAATAACTAATTAAAGGGTTCAGAGATAGCTAACCTGAGATAATATCTTTCGCCCAATCTTGGGCTTTGCTGAAACTAACAAAAGGTAGAAAAATAATACCAAAGAAAACAGTCAGCACATAATTGTCAACAAAACCACCCTTTAATTTAGAGCATCTAACCTGAAAACCCTTGTTTTCCTATCCCTTTCTCTGAACATTTGGCATTTTCCTGACCCAAATTGGTATACATGTAAGCTTTTTTGTGTTGAATGCAGCATGGTGTAAGAAAATAAAGACACAAGATGATAATAACAACAACCTTCTTTGTATTAATTGTATCAACAACATTTGCTTGCTTTAATACTGGTAGAGACTTCCTGCAAGTGAGAAATCAGAATAAGTATTCATGTAGACTTCACAAATAATAACAGAAGATATACTGTACATTGTAAAAACCTTGATGGCAGGAGAAGATTTTTTTCAGATGTCCTGGACAAATCACAAAGTGGATACCTATTAATGCACTAAATAGAATATCTGGACTTTTCACAAAAACCAATGGAAAACAGATGTGAAGCTGATACATACTTCAATGACAAATAAAAAAACTGATATGACTTACCTGTTTCCAATGGTAGCCACTACACTGCCTCGGGCCTTGGCTCGTGGATCATCACCAGCAGCCTTCAATTCCTTGCTAACTGCTATCCAGAAGCAAAACCTCAATATATAAATGATTTTTCCTTACTGCCTTTTACATGTCTTGCCAGGAAATCATACCTTTCATCAATATATGATGGTCCCCACTAGCTTCAGCTAGGCTCACCCTCATCTTTGCCTTCTTGATGGAAAAAAAAAAAAAAAACACAATATATCTGAGCACCATAAATGAAAAATTTACGCAGAAAAAACAATTTCACCTATATAATAATTTATTATGACATTTAAAACCAAAGAAGGGGTTGAGAGAGGTGCCATCCCTTTCAGAAGTTCACATGGAAAGAAACTAGGGTGCTATCAGTCTATCACTTTAGACCAAGTAACAATATTAGCAAATAAAAGAAAAAACATGAGCCTAACCAAAGATGGCATATAAGCAACAGTAAGAATTTCACAAAACATATATACTTTTCATACCTTCAATGGTTTTCTTAATGACATATTTGTAGCTGAAGTCCCAGTACAAACAGAACTCCTGAGAATTCACAAAATAATAATAATAATAATAATAATAATAATAATAATAATAATAATAATAATAATAATAATAATAAGATTTAAAAAAACAAAACAAAACAAAAAAGCAACCACGAGGATTAAAGTGAAAAGTACAGTATCAGTGGACACATGAGAAAAAAATTTAAAAAGAAAGGAGGGTTGTGATGGATATTAAAGAGAGATTCTTTATGTATATAGCTGCACTTTACTGGTGCCGTGTTATGATACCACAAAGCCTAAATAACTAAAGTGAACAACAATTCATAGTGCATACCGCTGTAGGTAAGAAAGTTTCTTGCCATTATCCTTCCTGCATTATAAACTTTCTTATGAGTAAAGCAACATGGGTTTAAAATAAATAAATCCAACAAAAATTGATAGAAGGCTTGACAGAAAAACTTATACTGTGTTTCATCGGTGGGAAGCAATTGCATAAAATATGCATGTCATATTCCTGGAATGGAAATCAACAAGAGACATGACAACATATTGCCAATGGAAAATGTTCGTTTTGGTGCAAATTTAGGGATATAAATATGCCTAGGCAGTTATTTTCATATTATGCTCCATTCTTCCACTCTCTCTCCACGAAGAAACATCACAAACAACATTTTTCCTTGCAATTGATCTACATTTGATCAAGATTTGAAATGATTTCCAGCTTGTAATTCAATTTTTCTTTCAAATTTCAAGATTGCATCTCCAATTTCTCTTTTAATCAAAGTTAGGTCTTACTTTCTAACTTTCCAACTTTACATTTTCTTCAACTCAATTGTTCTTGCAATGGCTTCCATTTCAATTTTTCTTTGCGTTTCAATTCTGTTATGGAATATATAAGTGATATGGAATCTATATATATTAGGCAGCTTGGAGTTTTAGGGTTTTGAGTAGGTAGTCATAAAGAAACTTATTTCTTTATTAGAAATCCTCTAGCATGTATTTTTAGGGCTGTGTATTACTGTATTCCCCTTTCTAACACAGATTCATAAATCTTCTATTCACTTTCATACAATACATATTTTCTCATCCCTTGACTCTTCATCTCTCCTCCCGCCTAACTGGCGGGTGATTGTTATTTTCCACCTGCCACTCCTGTCAGGCATTTGGATTATTCAAATTCAACATGGTATCAGATCCATTACAATTAAAAAAAATGCTCTGTTGTCGTCACCGCTTACCTAGGGAGGAGCGCCAGTGTCCGACGACTGGATCTGGAAGTTTCGAAGCCGAACTGGACAGCGCGCGTGGCTCACGCGCCGCCGCTACCTGCCTCGACGCGTCTCCGGCAACTGGAATTTTTTTGGTCGGGCATTCCTGGGTAGCCTAAGTCCGTGTATCTCGGTTCTGGACTTGATTTGGACCATTGTAGCTTCTATGATTATTGCTCTCCAGTCAGGTTATAACGTACACCTTCAGGTTCTTATTTTTGTGTACTTTGTGATATGTTTTTTGTCTGGGTATGGCTGAATATAAATCTAATACATATGCTAAGTTGGTCCTATCTCTATTGATGAGTTTGCTAAGTTGGAGTCCGTTGTTGTCACCCGTTTTTTATGCTCATTGTTGTTTGGGACATGTTTCCCTTCTGTTGGTAAAGAAATTGTGTCATCCTTTTTCGGAGTTTGTCTTCTTTACTTTGTATGTCCAAGCTTGTTCGGTCCACTTTGTGTTCACCCGGTGTTTGCCTGTGGTATTGGTAGCGTCCAAGCTTCTATTGCAGGGGGGGTGTCCAATCCCGAGCTTGTTCGATCCACTTTGAGCTCACATAGTTTTCCGTGGTATTGGTGGCATTCAAAGCTTTCGTTTCAGGGGAGTGTCCTAAATGGGATTTGAGTTAGTTATTTAGTTATTTTTGGGTTATTAGTTATTTGTGTAACAAGTTGGGCATGATTAAATCTATGCTCCAACTTGAGGGGGAGTGTTATGGAATCTATATATATTAGGCAGCCTGGAGTTTTAGGGTTTTGAGTAGGTAGTCATAAGGAAACTTATTTCCTTATTAGAAGTCTTCTAGCATGTATTTATAGGGTTGTGCATTCCCCTTTCTAATACAGATTCATAAACCTTCTATTCACTTTCATACAATATATATTTTTCCATCCCTTGATTCTTTATCTCTGCTTCCGTCTAACTAGCGGGTGGTTGTTATTCTCCACCCGCCAGGCATTTAGATCTTTCAAATTAAACAAATTCAAAGTATGAGTAGCTAGATTCATCTAGGGATTTTGATTGAGCTCTCTTGTATGGATGCTTGAGTAAATTAAATTGCAATTGGAGATGATATGATGCATTAACTAGGGTTCTTGTTGTGAGTCCGGTGAATTGTATGGACTCTTGTATAATTAGGGCCCAATTATACAAGAGGATCATGGAATTGTGTTGTTACCATGTAAATGGGACAACATTATAGCCAGAGTGCCAGACCACTCACATTTCAAACTTCACTTTGAGAAAAGGGGTTAAAAGAGATGTGAATGCACCAATTGGATTAATCACCAATAGAATGGGATCTAATCCCAATTGGAAGTCCAATGACCATAATAATGACTTTGGTATTGAGTAGCATCATCTTTGATCCATGTTAATTCATCACATGATCCCTAGCCAATGAAAACTCTATAGCATCTAAGCAAGAGTTGTTTGATCCAAACCCCTACCTTTACCTATCACTTGTTAATTGTTTTTGTTAATTACCTTGCTATTTTGTGTTATACTTAGTTGTACTTGAATGTCTTTCAACTCAACTATTAGAACTAGCTTCCAAACACTAGATACTTTCGTGATTAACCGCTTACTATTCGCTTCATTTTGGTCCACTCCTCCGAACGATATCCGGTGTGAGAATACCCTCTCACACACACACTAATCACTCCACTAAAACTCAACTTTCAATAGCCAACTGGAATCATCACCACTCTACTCATCTTAACTCTCAGCATCTTTACTTTAGCAAGATCCAGATGACCAAAGAACAAGTACCTTTAAGTTTGATCTACTGTTAGAATAAAGGTACAAAAACTGAGAATACTTTCTTGAATAGTTGTTACATACACTTGTGTGAGGCCAACATCATATACATTTTTTGGATAAGTGAGGCCAAAGACTATGTAATCTTGACATTAGCCCATGATTTCATGGTCACAGGGGTTCAACTCTCAATCACCTCAAATGTACCTAAAAAGGTTTTTTTGACCTTTACAACAACATAGCTTCCAAGGCCATCTCCAAATCTACAGTTAATGTAAAAGGATGCAGACAGTTTGATAAATCAAAGAATTAATCTTTCAAGCAATACAGTAATACACAGTCAGAATCACTTACCCTTGTTTGGATCCTTCATGCAATTCAGTTCTGGAAAAGCTGCCCCTGGTATTACTAATATCAGCCAAAACTTTTCTTCCAACTTTCACCTTAACAGAAGAGCTACTCTTGGTGTTGCTAATATCAGACAAAACTTTTCTTCCAACTTTTACTTTAACTGGAAGGCAAGAGTATATCAGTATATGGTGAAAACCACCCAAGAAACATGTAAGATTTTAGGTACCCTAAAAATTCTAGTGAAACGTTACCTGCACTACCATGCTTGCTTTTATTTTTCTCCATGTACCTCTTTGTGATCAAAGAAGTTAAGCAACTAAATCAATATTAGCAAGTACATAAAGCCAACAGAAAACAAACTTTAAGAATTCAAAAAATTAAATAAAATAAGTGCATTCTGCAAAGTATGCTAACCTTCAAAGAAGTAGCTCTGCTTTGCATGGCAGTACTATTAAGCATAGCAGATTTCCTGCACCAGAAATGAGAAAGAAATGTGTACTACTTTTGCATTACAATTAAACAATCAATTACAACATAACTTTCAATTACACAAGAGAATATTTGAAATACCAAACCCTGCCTTGTTTAACAATCAAGCAAAACTTGTTGAATTAATTGCTTCAAATTTTAGCAATATTTACTGGGGTAGAATCTAGTCTAGATTTAAGAAGATGAACAAACACATGTGAACACACAGACAATATTTACTAGGGTCTAGGGTAGAACCTATTTAAGAAGCTGTGCACACATGCATACAAAATATGAGAAGTAAGAAGGAAGTGTAGGCTTACTTAGAATCAGTGCTGAGAGAAATGCGTCCTCCTACTTCAGTTTTCTCGATTTCTGAATAAATGTTTAATTTTCTTAGTCCGCCTGTAACTATATATTAGTAGAATTACAATATGCATAAAGAGTAATGCGTACTATTCTTGCTCGGTTTACGGTCTTGCGCGAGAAGATTGGCAACTGCGTTTGATTTTCCCTGCATGAACAGTAACAAAACAACAGCGAATTGAATATGAAATGTAGAGGAATAGAGAGAAGAAATAGTGACATTTTAGGGTTGGGCATACCTTGACGACAACCATTTCTAGCTTTGTTCAACCATTTTCGTTGCGGTTTAGGAGTGAGGCGAGTAGGAAAATAGCACACAGTTGAGAATGCAGACTATCGATTGAAACTCAATGGACGGATTAGAAATGGAAATGAGTAGCGTTTGAATAACAATGGCGCTGCTTCCCTGATTTGAATTGTTGATTGATTTTTTACATTAATGTCCTCGTGGAAAACCCGGCCCAACTTTAAAAAAAAAAAAAAAAAAAAAGAGTCCTGATATTCCACTTATTGGGTCGGTATTTTAGGCAGAACCCATGGATCTATATCTAAAGTAGGCCATTACCCATTATTTGAATGGTTTACTTTTTATATATCTCATAGTTGCCTCTGAGACTGAAAAATAAATAAAAGAAATAAACGACCCTTTAAAGTTGTGTTGAAACAAACAATATAATATACTACTCCGTAGACCGTAGTATATTTACATCCGGAACGGAATGCGGAAAGGGGTAAGAAGTGGGAGAAAAAAGACAAAATGGAAAAGAATGCAACAGCGGTAGCTAGCTTTAGTGAATAAAGCAGTAATATAATGGTGCAAGTAGGAGACAGAATATCGACATCCTGAGGTTAAGAATGCTGTGCAACACCAAGTTTATTAGGTACCAAACCCATTTAAGTGCGCTTTGTAAGGCCATCCGTGGCCGATGACAACATCTTGCGCACACCAATCACCAATCACCAATCACCAATCATCAAACCACTTGGCAATTCCTGTACGTGTATATATAAATAAAATTGAAGTCGATCAGATTCAGAGGCAACACTGTACTGTACTCACTCAAACAAAGCCTGATTTGATTGGTTTTGTAGTAAGTCGTCTCATAATTGGATGCGCCCTTCAAACTCCCCTTAGCTAGCTTAGCTTATTTATCTGCTGCATCCTATCTAATATCCGTAATATGATCCAAATTGATAGAGAGAGAGAGAGACCTCCCACATATATGCCAGGGGGGAAACAAATTAAAGTTAGCATATAAAAAGTAGAGGCAGAGGTTTGCATTGCAATACAGTATGCATTATGTAGTACTCCGTATCATTTATTAAGTGTGTGTGTGTCACCAGAATTTTAGTGCACTGTACTCCACTTTGGTTGCTTGTGAGACATTCCCAGCCTCAGTCCCATTCAATACAGCGCCAAGTGCTCTGCCTTCTCAACAATCCTCAATCAGCATATGTCCTTTTGTTTTATTGGCCACATACTCCAACACTACAATTCACTTGCAGCTAGCTTAGCTTCCATCAATAATATATATAGATAGATGCAGAAATACTTAAATTCTCTCTCCATCCGATCAGGTCAGTTTAAAGTTTAAACGCATATCTGATCTGGTACGTGTTTACAACATGTAGTGAGTAAGTTTGTCCGTCTCCATCTCATCTTCCGCTCTCCCTCTCTCTTAAAGCTCCAGATTTGATTTGCCATGGATAAAACTAATTATTGTCTCCAATTTCCATTTCGCTACTCTTTGTTTAACATAGTAGCCTCCTTTTATATCATCATCATCTTCTTTCCGTGTGCAATCTCTGGTACTGCCGCGGCCGAGTCCGAGTGCACCTGCAACGGCAACGTTGAAGGTCAATTACACTACAGCAGCAAAGAGACATTAGTCACAGTGGACTCTCTCAAATATAGGCTAGTTGCAATTGCTTCAATTCTGGTTGCAGGTGCTGCTGGGGTGAGCATCCCGCTTCTGGCTAGAAAGTATGAATTTTTAGGGCCGGAGAAGGATATATTCTTCATGATCAAGGCCTTTGCCGCAGGTGTGATCTTATCCACAGGTTTTGTTCACATACTGCCTGATGCATTCCAGACACTGACATCGCCGCTCCTTAAAGACACTAATCCCTGGGCCAAATTCCCTTTCTCTGGTTTAATTGCGTTGACCGCATCCATTGCAACTTTGATGGTGGACACGCTTGCTATGAGCTTTTTCAGGAAGAAGATGATGCACTTTGACAAGACAAAACTGCCGCAGGTAAGTGCAGATGAAGAAGAGGCCAAAGATGCTGCTGCTGCAGATCACATGCACAGACATGGAGCAGCAGCAGCAGCCGTGTATCTCGATCCCCCGCCATCTAATAATGAATTAGTGCACCTATCGGATCGAATACGACAGCGCGTCGTATCGCAGGTAAGTTACCTAGCTAGCTTCCTTCTTACTCCGTATTATTTAATTTAATTTGTATATTAATTGCTTGGATCGTATATATTCATACCTAGCTGCTACCTTGTTATTAGGTACTGGAGCTGGGAATTGTGGTTCATTCAGTCATAATAGGATTGTGCTTGGGTACTTCACAAACCCGTGAAACAATAAGACCTTTGTTAGTTGCTTTGTCATTCCACCAGTTCTTTGAAGGGATGGGACTTGGAGGCTGCATCGCGCAGGTATGAATTTATGATATGATCATCATCATCTTCTTCTTCTTCGTCTTCTTAATTTAACATACAATTGTTAAATTATATATATTGGCGTGAAACCTAAGCTAATAAGCCAGTTGTTGGTTGTTGTATGTTTTTTGATGTGATATGATGATGGAACGAACGAGTAGGCAAAATTCAAGTCTGTATCTACAGCAGTGATGGCAGTATTTTTTTCCCTGACCACCCCAGTTGGGATTGCAACCGGGATCGGGATATCCAGTGTGTATAATCCACATAGCTCCACTGCACTAATTACACAAGGCGTTCTCAATTCTGCCTCCGCAGGCATCTTGATTTACATGGCTCTTGTTGATCTGCTAGCTGCTGATTTTATGAAACCAAAGATTCAAAATAACGTCAGACTTCAGCTGGGGGGCCATGTTTCCCTTGTTCTAGGAGCTGGAAGTATGTCTGTATTGGCCATGTGGGCCTGATGGGATGGATGATCTTATTCATTCAATTCCCTTCCCCCTCAGGCCTCAGCTCACTGTTACGTACTTTCTCCATCATGTCCTCTGTCTCATCTACCTCTATGCGTGATTGCAGTGTCATCCATCTGTAATATAAATAAATAAATTGTTCATTTCTGTTTGAAACAAAAAAAAACACATTAATATTGACTTATTTAACCAACTTAAACAACTAATAATTATCAAATTAGTTAAATTTAGTTGATAAACTAATTATGTTATCAAAGAGAGCCATAATCAATCAATCATTCAATCAATGTATGTGTTGGTTTCACGGTCATGTAGCCGGACGATAGACCAACATACCCGTAAAACAATTTAAGAGAGAAAACAAGGAGATTAAGTTGACAGTATCACCGCGAACGAGTTGAATTATGAACTCCTTTCAATGTGCTTCATAGAAAAGAAAAAGATTTAACAAGTTTGATCTTAAGAAAGTTGTCTAAACTATCAAATTTCTTTCTTAATGTCAAAAAGAAAAATCTCCAAAACTTAGAGGAAGTCCTTAGAAAATTTCCTCTCACGGCCTTTGGGTTCAGCACCTAGTCGGACGCAACATCTCGATTGCCCAATCATTATTGTGTGGACCATGATCTACACAAGTTTTATGGACCATATTTTGTATATTATAAAATAATGTACATTCAATACAAAAATAATGTACATTATATTTAAGGGATGTATATTATTTGTGTATTGAATGTACATTATATAATATAATGTATACTCAGTACAAAAATAATGTACATTTAATATATTAAAATGTACTTTTTATTATGGTTTATACCAGAGTGCTTGGACCATCAATAATTTGCCTCGATTGCCTGCCTATGAGTTGAGCGGCTGGGCTTAAAGCCCTAAACCCAACGCCCCAGAAATGGCTAGTGGGTCTTACCAATTTTCTGGGCAAAATGGTCAGACTGCGAGCGCCGAGTGGTAGGACATGCTCATGGGTAAGGATTTGAAGCTAAGGTAGGGTCACGTCTTTAAACAACAATAACTACCCAAGCCCGCCCGCCCGCCCGGCGCCCGAGTTAGCTTAGCTTCACTTCAGGGTTCAGGCAGGCCATGCTTCTCACCGCTCGTCACCGTCTCATGTTGCGCTCTCTATCTTTGGCGTCATCACCTCCCACCACTACGCTTCAAGAAATTGCTTCCAAGCAGCCCGGAGGAGGTGCGTACTATGCATTTATTTTCTCGCTAAACAAATCACAAATGTAGCTAGTGTGGTTGTTACTTGTTATTAGGCGTGGCCAAGGTTGTATTGAAGAAGGGAAAGACTCAACTTTTCTCTAAGGGCGGAAGCCCAATGGTTTACAGCGGTGCTGTTGACAGAATTATTGGTCGACCGCCGCCCAAGTCCGGAGATGTAGTCCTCGTCGCTGACGGAACCCAGAAACCAATTGGATGGGGCTTTTACAATTGTGTTTCTATGTTTTGCGTTCGCCTCATGCAACTGGAGGACGAAGCTTCAAGGTTTCTCTTTTCCTCCCTCTTTATGATCCCACTACGGATGGATTTTATTTTCAATGACCTCCATCCATCTACACTTACAGAGACCCTTCCTGTGCACTCAACGTGGAGAAACTGCTCGAAACAAGAATTTTTGCTGCTGCCCAACTCCGCAACACTCTAGGCCTTCCTTCTCCCAAAACAAACGCATACCGTCTCATTAATAGCGAAGGGGATAGGTGCACCGTTCCTTTTAATTACTTTGATAATTCATTATTATTATTATTATTATTATTGAGTAACTTAGGCTTGAATTATATTATTGTGTACTCAACACATTAAGTTTTATCCCTCAATACTACCACTAAATACTTACTCTAGCTTCCTTAACCTACTGCAGACTATCAGGTCTTATTGTTGATGTTTATGGAGATTTAGCTGTTATTGCTTCCTCTGCTGCTTGGGTAGAGAAGTACCAGCAACAAATAAAATCTTGCATCTGTAGAATCAATGGAATTAAACACATAAGCTGGAGACCATCAGTTGAAATTCTCAAGGAAGAAGGATTGGATTTTTCTGATTCAACAAATTTGGATTTAGTTACTTCTCCTAAAATGGCAAGAGTAAAGGTAAGACCTTTTGACATTCTAGAATTACCCTGTGGACTGTGGTTTTAGTTTTAGTTTTAGATACTCTTACCATGTCAAAATAGGACTCATTGTCATATGGTGGATGGAATCACTGTGCTAGGTACTGTGTTTTACATACTGTTTGTTGGTGAAACAATGATTGGCTTCTTGTGTGTTTTTCAAATATGTCTTACAGAGAAAGTCTAGTTACTTACCAAAAATTCTATGGAATGCCAAGTCTAGTTGATTACATTAACCTTTTTTTTAATGTTTCGCTCTTTGCATTAAAAAGAGTGCTGACCAATTAAACTCAGGTGCAAATCTGATTTGTCTTTGAGTCTGTTTACTGGAAACCAAAGATCCAAAACGTTTATGTGATAATTTGTTGTCAAAAGACATTAAGACTGTGTAGAGTTTTGGGATGAAGTTACAATATCAGTGACAACCAATGGTCCAAAACAAAATGCGAAAATAGCAGCTGAGTGCTTTACCGTAAATAGAAACTAAGAAGCAATTACATGCTATCACACCATTACTTGGTTATTATAATTTGTTATCGAGATTTGACTTGAATGAAAAAGGAATCTTTTTGTTATAATTTTATGGTTCTTTCATTTTTGTTAAACATGTCTAGGTCATTGAATGGAGGGTCTTAAACTCATGATTTGTTTTTCCAGTGAGTAAAGCACATATTTCAGCAAAAAAGTCTACTCCATATTTCTTAATTGAAGTCTTTGTACAAACTCTTCCTTGAGTTCCTTCAAGGTGTACTTCTCAAGGGTCCTTTGACACCATCTAGTCTCTATTGGTTAGGTCATGGAGAATGGGATTTCCTATATGATATCAATGGATGGCCAAAAGACTGGCTTTTATGCTGATCAGCGTGAAAACCGTCAGTTTATTTCTACCATTTCCGAGGGTTGTAGGGTTCTTGATATTTGCTGCTACACAGGAGGTTTTGCGCTTAATGCAGCACGTAGCGGTGCATTAGAGGTCATTGGTAAAACCACTGTTATATATCTTTGTTCTTATATATGCCTCTGATTTTGTCAACTTTCATTCAAAAGAAAATGCAATTGGCCCAGGCCTTGAAAGATCTGAAACTAACTAAGTATATATTATTTCTATTTGTGTCACCCAAGTTTGGTAAATTCATTATGCTAATTTGTCTTTCTTGGCATACAAGGATCCTTCTAAGTATCAGTATCAGGTGCTCCTTTTTATTCTCTTTAACATCACATAAGAGCTCATATTTTACAAAAGAGATGAAGAACTAATAAGTACTTTGTATTCTGTAATAAGTAAATACCCATACATTGCAGTCTCTAAAATAAGGAACAAGCCATTCTTACAGATTGGTCCTAATATTTTATCATGGAACCAAGATACGTATATCTGAGAAATGAAGATTTTAAGTCTGTGGACACTTGATCTAGGATGCATGAGTTTGTTTAGACCTAATCAATTGATCAATGGCTATTTTGTAAGTCAATGGAGCAACGTTATACATCTGAGAAATGCAGAATAGTCTATAAGCTTGTGAACTTAATCTAAGGAGACAGGAGTTTGTTAAGACCTAATTAGTTAATAGATGATGTGTTTCAAGATTTTGTACTTGGAAATATGATTTCATTTTTTTTTCCCCTCGGAATTGCTCTTTTTGTGCTATCCAAGTTTGTAGATAGATTCTAGTTCCAAATGGAGCTTATATTGCTACTTGTTTGGAAGGTGTTGATACGTCATCACCTGCACTAGAAATTGCAAAAGAAAACATTGCTCTCAATGGGCTGGATTCAAGAAGGATATCATTTCTGAGACAAGATGCAACTGAATTTATGAAAGATGCTATTTCTAAACATGAAAAATGGGACATAGTTATTCTGGACCCTCCTAAATTAGCACCTCGGAAAAAGGTATGTGTTTTGATATCTTAATTTGGCTTTTGATTGCTTGTTGTTTGAGTTTTAACAATAGTTATATCATGAACCAACATGCACCCAAAGCATCCCTATTTTTTTCAACTTAAATTTATTTTTTTTCATTTCAAAGTTAATGTATAAAAAATTATTGTATATCATTAAAAAGCTATAATTGATATATTTTAAATGACACTAATATTGATATTTTTTATAAAAAATAAATCTCCAGGTACATAAAGTCATTACTTTAGTGTAATGCTTATGTACACTAAGCCTTGTATCTATAAACATATAGAAAGAACATTATGAACTTACTACAGAGTGAATGGAAATAGATATGATGTACCAGCATTTTAGTGTTTATGTACATTATAGTTTAGATTTATGATCATATAAAACAAATATATGAACGAGTACATGATGAATGTTATTAAATATGATGCGCTTGTAATGTTTATATACTTAAAAGCATATCGAAGGAACATTACTACAAAGTGAATAGAAATAGATATGATGTACCAACAATTTAATATTTATGTACATTAATACATTATGTTTATATATAGAACAAATATTATGAATGTAATACAAAATAAATGTTAAACATGATGCACTGGTTGATGCCATTAACGACTTAATATAAAAAGGTTTCATTTTGGACTAGGCCCTAGGGTCTACTGACCATGCAAGGTAAACCCTAGTTGATGATTTAATTTGCGAAGTTTTAACTTGCATTGCATCACTGTGCATGTGTAGAAATCATGTAATGCATAGGATACGCAATTTGATTGCCTTTTGACCTTTGAGTTGTTGAAAGAAAACATTTGCCTCAACCTTATTTTATTGATTGATTCTGATCCTTTTATGTTTGTGTTCACTTCACCCAGGTTCTAAAGAGTGCATCTGGCATGTATAGAAATCTGAACTCCTTGGCCATGCAGTTAACAAAGAAAGGAGGTCTACTTATGACTTGCTCTTGCTCTGGGGCAATGACACAAAGTGGTCAGTTCCTAGACGTTCTTCTGGCAAGTTCTCTCTCTCTCTCTCTCTCTCTCTCTCTCATCAGGAACTCTAAAATGCATTATTTGAATAACTTTAGTGTTCATCTTAATCTATTTGTGTGGCAACTGATTTTGGGGTATGCAACCAGGGTGCTGCATCCATGGCTGGGAAGAAAATCACGATTGTGCGTGAGGCGGGAGCAGCATGTGATCATCCTATTGATCCCTCATATCCTGAAGGAGAATATCTTTCCAATATCCTGCTTAGGGTTGCATAGTTTTTTTCTTATATTAAAAAATATTGTACTTCTTTAGAATTCAACTGTTAAGACTAAATAAAATGGAAAGGTTATAAAACATAATATGCCTCCTTAATAGTTAATTGTAATGCCTGGCATTAAGTTCACATAACAAATTCAATCTCTTTAACATTTAAACCACTTTGTACATAGCTGGTTCCAAAATATCAAGACAAGCTTCCATCTCTTTAATCAATCACAGATAGCTCAAGGCAATGCACACCTTATGAGCCTGCTAGTGACCGCCTGGATTCCGGTTCCATGACAAATAAGATGGATCACCAAGTTGCCTGCACAACCACAACATGCCAAGTCAACAGCTGTGTTCTCCAGAAGCTTTTAGGCCCAAATTCTAAATGCAACATTGTGTTGATAAAAGATTGAAAATCAACAAGGTTAACAGTCAGATAAATCAAGGCACATACCATGAGGGTAAAAATTCATAAAGGCCAAAACTGTGTGTGTGTGTGTATATATATATATATATATTAAGGAAAATTCTTCCATGCCTAATACTAGGATGGAGATGCATTTTGTAATTTTACATTGTAATTTGTCAAGTTACAAAATGAACCTCCATCCCTTAATATTTTTAGTGTCTGGCATTCTTACAAATTGACATGGAAGCAACTTCCGTAATAGTAATGATAATGATAATAATGATGATGAAGTATTCATAGAATGATTAAGTACAAGCAATGTGTAGTATAATGCACATGCACTTTCAAGACCATTTCATTGAACTAAGATCAAGATCAGTATTAGGATCAAACTGCCAGTAAAAACTTGCAAAGCCAAAATATGAATATATGGTGTGCATACACAATTAAACAAGCAGCAGCTCATAGGCTTATCACACTTAACCATGGAACTTGTACCTAAATGGTATTGGGATTTTCTTTTTCCTCTTCATTTTGACATAGCAAGGGAATTGTGATTTATGTAGAAAGGTGCAACCAAAGGTCAACCACACAAGCAGAGCTCATTGCAGCTTTATTTGCACCATCACGGTCTTCAAATAAGGGGTCGTTTGGTTGGACACTTTTGTACTCTATTATAAGATTTTATTCCAATTACCTTGTTTGCTTGCCTACTTTTGCTCCTCAACTATTGGATTTCAAAACCTTTACTAATAAAGAAAAAGCATTCCCCCCTCTCCCCCTACTTTTGAAAATTGCAATAAAATATGAAGAAAAAAATAGTCATCATACATGGATTAAATGTGGAATTCAAATACACGTGCACACACACACAGAGGAAATCTTACTTTTGGTCCCTCAATTTTTGCTTAAGTTGTCAATTTAGTCCCTCTGCCTAATGGAATTGACCAACAATTGAGGTCCAAGTTGACAACTTGAACAAAAATTGAGGAAGCACCGAACCATATTTGTTCACTCATGAATTGAGGGACCACATTTAAAAATGAGAAATAATTGAGGGATAAAAACTACAATTTCCCCTTATATTTATTTTGATTTCAACTCATGTTTACTACCAAACAAAGAGGGCTACTTTTACTAAAATCCATACAAATTACTAAATATTTGATTCCAATTCCAATGTTTGAACCAAACACCCCCAAAGTATTTCCTACAGTAGCACCGTAAATAGATAGGATAATTAATAATTAGATGTCAGGTTTGGTAAGAAAAAGAGACCATACCTTGGCTTAACTAGATATATCAAAGTGAAAACCATAGCCAAAAAGAAGCACAAGCCACCAACAGTAAGGTATGCAATACCCAGGAAATCATTTTTTCCACCCAGCCAGCTAGTGGTAGAAAGCACAAGTTTCTTCTTGCCATTGAAACTGTAGGTATTGTAATTATTCTCGACCGTGACATCAATGACATCATTCGCATTAAGATCCACCTCTATCTTCCCATATAACTTCCTAAACGTTGGAAGAGCAGCAGTTCGCATCCAAACAATAAGGTCCTCCTGCTCACTCAACTGTTTAAAGCAAGGAAGAAGAGGATTGAATAAGCCTTAGAAAGAACTTGAATTAGAAATTTGTTATGTACTGAAGAAATAGAAAAACCTATTCCATTTCCACAAAAGATAATATAAAAGAATTGAAGGTAAAATAACTTGTATGGGACACGTAGGACCAGAAATTCCAAAGTACTTGTATCTAAATAATCAATGTAATATACACAAAGTCCAGCTTAATTTGTTATTGGTTTTCTAATCCTTAAATGAAAATTGAAACAGATGGACAGGTCAATCCACAAATATGGTAGTATCTTAGTGTAGCAGAGAAAAACTTAATGATGGCAGATTCATGTGCAGAGGTATATACACACATTCCCTGAATATTGAGCAGTACCTAAGAAACCCTAAACATTCCCCATCATATTCCCTGTATATTGATTGGTATCTAAGAAACCCTAAACATTCCCCAACTCCCCATCCTCAGATGTGTTGGTACAATGAAATAAACTTTGTTTTTCCCAGAGGCGTTGAAGACAAAAAAGAAGTCCATGCAGCATACTGAATCTCTTACATTATCTTCCTCTAGCATTCATGTAAAATAAATAAATAAAAATAAAAATGTATCAGTACTTACCGGCTTCTCTGGGTCAAGCTTCTTACCCCCAATCAGAGACCCATTCTGAAAGTTCTTTGGATAGACGTCTTTGCCAAACTTGTGATCCCTGTCACTCTTCCATGATATTCTAGTTTGGTTTACAGTCAGCTGTACATTGTTGCGGGTAAAGCTGTAGGTATCATTAAACAAACTCCAGGCTATAAGGCCACAGGGAACTATGACAGTCCCATTGACTTTATCTTCAGGCTCGCAAGAACTAGTATCATCCTCCTTGCTTTTATCCTTCAATTGCTGATCACTTCGACTCTTCACATACCTGAAAATGATGTTAATACAAGTCACAAACATATATGACCATAATTTATAATACTCCATATTAGTTAGCACCATGCTTCAAGTAGTTTATAAACGAAAGTAGAGGGAAAAGAATATAACACAGCCAAACACCAACAGAAATTAAGTAACTTCTCAGACAATGCAGCAGCAATGTAATCAAGAGCAGTCTCAAGCACCTGCGATGATTTTGATAGAAGTTGTCAAGTTGGTAATACACATAAATAGGCTGCTTCATATGCTTCGGTACCTATGTGTTTAAAAAACCAAACCATGTCATTGTATTGTGTCTCAAGACTTAAGCCTGACCAGGAAAAGAATATATTTTTATCAAAAGAGATCTCCATCTGTAACAAAATCCAGAGCCACTCTAGTGGAACTTACTCTCAGGATTCGAGGGCAGATTTTACTTAGATTGCTTTGTATAAACTGAACTTCATTTCCTGAATAATTGCTTGGTATGCAGTCAGCCTCATAACGATCAACAATCTCAACAACCTGATGAATGAGCAATAAAGCATGAATCAATTATTTCCTTAATTGGTTTTCTTCTTCTAAAAAATTTCTTCATTTTTTGAGTGGGCGGTGTTTAAAGGACAAATAGAGGAGAGGAGGAGGAGGGGCCTGTAAAAGTCAAGAAAAGAAGATAATCATGTAGGAAACTTTGAACATACATCCCGAGAAGCAAGCAAGGAAACAACTCCAATGGGAATGAAGACAATACTGACTAGCAGAAAAGCTGAGATAACCTGCATCACACAACCAGTAAAGAAATTTCATCAGCAAACTTTTCATGAGATCATCTCACAGAACAAGAAATCTACAAAATGGAACTTACCCACTTTGGTGTTAATATTGGTTTGCAGGCAGGAAGTTCCTGTTGCGTAAACCTTGAATCTGAAACAGAAAAAAAGAAAAGCTATTGTTTTTATCCTATTATTCAGATTATCCAATACAGTGAATATAGGTAAACTCATGCTCGTTAAAAAAGAGTGTGATTATATTTACCCATTTAGTTGATCTGACAGAATTAATGGATGGAAAAGTTAGATTCACAAGGAAACAATCATATAATTAGACAAATACTCCACACTTCCTATGAGTATATATTAACACATTTCAAGTCCAAACACTTGACACATCAATCAGTTACAAATGAGAAAGAGTATATATTAACACATTTCAAGTCCAAACACTTGACACATCAATCAGTTACAAATGAGAAAGAGAGATTAGTGCAAACAGGAAAAAAAATGTTGGACTTCGATTACTTGAGAAGCAGATAGACTAGGAAGCAAGAACACAATAGGAGGGGAAACAAATCAAAGGAACTCTGACCCAAACCTGTTCGGTGGGTACATGTACAGAGATAAATGTCTGGCAGGTAGCTAACTATGCCAAAACACATGGCAACAAGATATAGAGAAAAAGTCCCGGGGAAAAGAATTGTAATTCCGTGGCCAAATTGTGTGGCAACAAGATATAGAGAAACAGTACTCGTTAAGCTGACAACCTAAGCGATATAACTAATAACATCTATGGCTCCTAAGCATACCTAATGAACTTGGAATTGGAGTTGATTATGAATTAACCACAATTTATAATCATCATAATCTATAAGCAAAATTCTCCAATAAGTCCCGTAAACTAAGATTCTAGTATTGTACAAAAATGTATGAACAATATATCGTAGGCTAAGCACAACATAATCGGAGCAGAAAGTAACTGTTTGGTATTGTCAATCGGATGGGGGTTGGGGAAGAAAACACATGAAAAAAATAAAATAAAAAAATCTTAAGTTAATAGAAGGCACGAATCCAAAACAGGAAACAGATAAAAGCAACAGGAGTGCTATTGAGGAGGATGGGGGCATTTGCATACACTTGGGTCGCCTGGAAATTCTTCTGGTTGCAGAATTATCGGCGGATCCGGGGGCGCCGGAGCTGGATGAGGGAGCGTTGGAGCTCATCACTCGAATTTCTTCGTCTCAGAAATCTAAACTGCAAATATCAGGTAGATGTTTTTTTGGTTCGATCAAATTGTGGAAGAATTAGAAGAAGAGAATGGTTCGGAATTGCTGCTAATTGGCTTCTGCTTTAATCTTAAAGAGAGTTTGAGTTTGAAAAGTCGTCTCTGATTCTTCGTGTTCTTCTTCTGGCACTTCTAGATCTAAGTC